CACCATGTTGGCCAGGATGGTCTCGATCTCCTGACCTCGTGATCCACCCACCTCGGCCTCCCAAAGTGCTGGGATTACAGGCGTGAGCCACTGTGCCCAGTCAGAACCCACACATATTTAAGATTGTTATGGGGAAAAAGATGCACTTGTTGTGAATGACCTCAAGGCACAGAACTAATGTCAGTGAGTAGAAAGTAAAGTTATTTTACAAAATCCAGTTTGAGCTAATTTTTGACAGGAACTGCTATAAAATCTTTTCAGCCACAGAATTGGTGGTGATGTATGGCCATTAGATTGTGGCAAAGATTGAAATACGATGGATGATTTGAATTGTATGATTCATAATAGTTTTGTAACTCCTGATTTTAAAACATCCTGGAATAAATGTGATAATTTGCTGGAACTGTCTCATGAGCCAGTTATTGAGGATTTTACATCTGAACATGGAATATAGTTCTTCATGTTTTTCTATTAGATTTCTCGAATGCTGGCAGCGAAAACTGTTTTGGCTATCCGTTATGATGCTTTTGGTGAGGATTCAAGTTCTGCAATGGGAGTTGAGAACAGAGCCAAATTAGAGGCCAGGTTGAGAACTTTGGAAGATAGAGGGGTAAGAATACCACATCATGCCTATTCCAGAAGTATTAAACTGTCAAAAGTTAATAAATTGAGTAAATTTATGAAGTTACTTTATCTGCTAAACAGTTTTATGATCCTTGTTAGTATGTCTAAAGTATTCTTTTTGTGCCTATTAACAATTGCTATTATTTACCAAGAATTGATGTATACAATAGCATTTGCCATTAGGATATGCTATTCAAAATAACAAAAAATAGCAGAAATTGTTTGCTGGCCCACTGATTCACTAGACTGTTTAGTGTATTATAAAGTGACTTAGAATTGTATTTGTAATTTTTCCTTTTCGTCTTAGATAAGAAAAATAAGTGGAACAGGAAAGGCATTAGCAAAAACAGAAAAATATGAACACAAAAGGTGAGTACATTTAAGTGACAATGGGGTGAATAGTTTTTTTAAATGTTAATTATTGACAGCGATTTTGTAAATTTCACTTTGATGTGCCCATAGTTTTTCAAATTTATTTAATTGACAAAAATTGTTTATTGTGTACATGTTATTTTGGAAAATGTGCACATTGAGGAATGATTAAGTCAAGCTCATTAACATGCATTGTCTTACTTTTTTTGTAGTGAGGACACCTTAAAATCTACTTAGCAATTTTTAAGAATATAACACATTGTTAACTGTAGTTAACCATGTTGTGCACCCCTAATTTTTTTCCGTGCCATTTAGTTTTCCACATTAACTTCTAGTTTTCATTCATATACGTATTTATTCATTTCCAGATATTGATAGTAAATTTTTAAATCTAAAGTTTCTCTATAATATGTTCTTTATCAAAAAGTTCATTCAGCCGGGCATAGTGGCTCCTGCCTGTAATCCCAGCACTTTGCGAGGCCGAGGCGGGCAGATCACCTGAGGTCAGGAGTTAAACACCAGCCTAGCCAACGTGGTGAAACCCCGTCTCTACTAAAAATACAAAAAATTATCTGGGCGTGGTGGCGGGCGCCTGTAATCCCAGCCACTTCGGAGGCTGAGGCAGGAGAATCGCTTGAAACCCGGGAGGCGGAGGGGTGCAGTGAGCTGAGATTGCGCCATTCCACTCCAGCCTGGGCAACAAGAGCAAAACTCCGTCTCAAAAAAAAGTTCACTCAGAGTTAGTCCCTACAGAAAACTATTTTGTAAAAAGTATAAAGACAGAAAACAAGTCTAAAAATGGCTGAGGCATGATAAAGCATTCAAACTTAACTATCAGATTAACAAAAGATTTGTATGTGGAGGGGTATTTGGCTTATTATTTGAGGTAGTGCTCAATGCTGGTGAGGTTGTCATGGTGGAGGCAGAATGTGGTATAGCTATTCTAGGAAGCCATTTCACAGTATGTATCAAGATTCTTCAAAATGTTCCCAGTCATTACCCAATAAATTATACTTTCAGGGCTCATAAACCTTCAAGAATTTATTTATTTATTTGGTTTTTTAAATTTTATTTATTTATTTATTTTTGAGAGGGAGTCTCTCTCTGTTGCCAGGCTGGAGTGCAGTGGCGTGATCCTGGCTCACTGCAACCTCTGACTCCCCGGTTCAAGAGATTCTCCTGCCTCAGCCTCCCAAGTAGCTAGGATTACAGGCATATACCACCACATCCAGCTAATTTTTGTATTTTTAGTAGAGCCGGAATTACACCATGTTGGCCGGGATGGTCTCGATCTCCTGACCTCATGATCCACCTGCCTCGGCCTCCCAAAGTGCTAGGATTACAGGCGTGAGCCACAGCGCCTGGCCTCCTTCAAGAATTTTAATAGTAAAATCTTACACTATAAGTGGATAAGGAGAGCAATATATAGTAACATTAGCAATTGTAAATACATATTTAAGTATAATTAGTGTGTTCTGGAAGGAAATCAAATGTGTTTATGTGGGCATTCACATTTTCTTTTTTGTGAATTTTCCAAGCTTTCTACAATAGCCATACATTCTGCAATATTTACAGTCTGTAACTTATTATCTCTAGTTGACAAACATGGGTCTTTGTTTCTTAAATTGTAAATGCCTTTAACCTATAAAAATTAAATAGTCATGCAGTTTACAAATCTGCTTAAGAAACAGAACATTTTTTAACTTGTTTTGAACCAATTTTTTTAATGTTCGTGTGCAATTAATGCTTTTTACTTTAAACATATGCAGTTAAAGCATCAGTTCACATTTTAGGCACTCATTTCAGTATTTTCTTCCTGCTTACATTAGAACAAAAGCAAATGTTGGGTTCTAAGGAATCTTTTCCATGTGTATGTATTTGTATCCTTTCTTGTTCTGCTTGTGATCTTGTGATGAAGACTTCTATACTCAGCTTGGTTTAGATTTTTTGTTTTGTTTTGTTTTGTTTTTTTCTCCATTTAATTGCGCAGTGTTCTGAAAGTTGGATTGGTTCATTTTTCACTTTCTAGTTAGGTGTGAAGACATTTTCTTCTTTCATTTCCCCCATGCTGATTGAGTGTTTTCCTGTACCATAGTAACTACATTGATTACTAAATCAGAATTCATTTAGCTCACCACTTCTCTTGAATGTGATTGACCTACTTGAAAAATATTAATACCTTTAACTTTTGGAAACTATTAGTCTTCATAAACTACCCCAAAGCCACTAAAATGAAACAACATTGTGTGCTTATGTAAGTATTATCTAATGGCATTTTCTTTATCTCTTGAGAATTATTTCAATTACAGATGCTTGTAGAGATTTTCTAAAACTTTTTGGGTCTTTCAGTGAAGTGAAGACGTACGATCCTTCTGGTGACTCCACACTTCCAACCTGTTCTAAAAAACGCAAAATAGAACAGGTAGATAAAGAGGATGAAATTACTGAAAAGAAAGCAAAAAAAGCCAAGATTAAAGTTAAAGGTTAGTTTGAATTTTTTTTAACACAACTTACACTCATTTCTTTAGAACTATGGATTTTGTGAGTCTTACAAGTACATGCCATTGCACTTTATTATAAAACTGCTCGTTGAACGCTAATGGTGTTTTAATAATGCCATGATGTTCTCTGGGAATGATATTGTTAAATTTATCGGACTTCACAGAGGAAATGTGAGAAGTTTAGTCAAATTAGGTATTTTACTAAGAGTACCAAAACTTCAGTTTCTACTACATGAACTATTTTGAGAATTAAGAGAAAAAAGGAATGTATTTTCTAAATTGGTTGTTGAAAATTTTTTGTTTTATAGTTATATGGAATTGATGGAACAGTGATTTTCTTCATTGTTTCTGTTATCTGGAGTGGACTAGAAGGAACACATACTGGTAGCCTGCCGTCATAGTTACAATATCCAGTAGGTGCTAACCAGTTAACTAGGCTGTCTTGTGAAGTTGATAAGCAGGGGCCCCATTATTAGTTAAACCTGGGTTTCTTGAACACCTACTAGCAAGTCTAGCAAAAGAGTAAAGCATTAACACAATGATTGCTTTAACTTGGTTTCTAAGTAGCTTAGTGGTCAAAAGTGTATGTTCTACAAATGTGGATAGTATACTTGATAGAGAAGTAATTTATTTAACTTTTACGCTTCTTTTTATTGAAAAGTAAGGAGATCCCTAAACCCATTAGTAGCATTTGAGGCACCAAACTCTGTCTTTTGTATCCTCAATTGTGTATCCAATAAGCTTTTCCGATTTATCTGTCAATTTTTCATCCCACAATTTCCCCCCTCTTTTTTTTTCCCCCCCACAAGACAGAGTCTTGCTCTGTCACCCAGGCTGGAGTGCAGTGGCGTGATCTCAGCTGACTGCAACCTCCGCCCCCTGGGTTCAAGTGATTCTCCTGCCTCATCTTCCTGAATAGCTAGGATTACGGGCATGTGCCACCAGGCCCGGCTAACATTTTTTGTATTTTTATTAGAGACAGGATTTCACCATGTTGGACAGGCTGGTCTTGATCTCCTGACCTCAAGTGATCCTCCCGCCTCAGCCTCCCAAAGTGCTGAGATTACAGGTGTGAGCCACTGCACCCAGCTGGTCACTGAATGTCTAATGATAGCTACGTGTTGAGTCCTTATTGTAATGTGTGCTAAGCATTATACTTTGTACTTTCTATGCATCATCTTTTTAAGTCTCGGTAACAATCCAGTAAGATAAGACATTCTTAAGTTTTATAGATGAGGATATGTAGTTTTACCAGGGGTAAATACAATTTTTCAGGGTTGTAGAGAGTAGACTTAAACCCAGGCTTTCAGACTTCAGAGTGCAAGCTCTTAACCATTTCTAATATAATTGACTCTCTTCCCAATAATGATTGGAGATCAGATGACTGTTGTTTTAATCCTGATTTTTATACATGATTTCATGCTCGTGAGAAAATTGCCTGAGCTCTATCTGTATCGTTTGTTAAAGTTAGTGGTAGGCCTTGGAGAACCTTCCCAATTATAAAATAAACAAAACAAACATTGGGTAGTTGATGAGAATGACAGAAAAAAACCTAGGACTCAAACGTTTTTGGAAAGAGTGAGATCTGATATAGTGTTAATTTGTTGTGCCTTTACACTTACTCTATTCAGTTGAAGAAGAGGAAGAAGAAGAAAAAGTGGCAGAAGAAGAAGAAACATCTGTGAAGAAGAAGAAGAAAAAGGGTAAAAAGAAACACATTAAGGAAGAACCACTTTCTGAGGAAGAACCATGTACCAGCACAGCAATTGCTGTATGTTTGTTTTTAATTATCGATGTTCACTTGGAGGGGCCAGTTCTCCACATTTCAATCTATTTTCTATATCAGAAATGAGCAGGCATTTTAAAAAATGGTTTTCATTGATGGGGAGGTAAAAGTGAAATGGCTTTGTTGTATTTATATTATAAAAGGCCATTTCCCAAATCTAGAATTTATTACTAAAAATTGAGTTTGCATTGAGAGGAAGAGTATGATTTGCTGAAACTTACTTTTATAGGTGGGGTTTTTATATTTTCAATTTTAATCTTTTCCCTGAATTTGTTTTCAAGGGAAACAGATTGATTTTGCATTTTATGAAGAAAAGTGATTAGTCACCCATACAATTACAGCTCTTTCAAAGCATTCTTGTTGGCTATTTTCAGAGTCCAGAGAAAAAGAAGAAAAAGAAAAAAAAAAGAGATAACGAGGATTAACAGAAAGGAATTACAAGTGTATCACCTGGACACATCATGCTTAAGATTCAACTGGGAGCATACCAGGGATGCTCTCTAACATAACCAAGGGAAGGTTCAGTAAAACAAAATGATTTATCATCTATAACTTCAAACCTATTTGTGTCTTGACATCAACTCTGTTAACATCATCACTTTCTAGAGTCTTTGATATACAAATAAAATTTTCTTTGTATTTTAAGACATTTTTGTGATCTCTTTATATCTTGAGTAGAGAATCTTTGGCTCTTTCTATAGTTTGCCATGTGATGATTATTGTTTTGATAATTATAACTGAAAAGTGAGAGTTTTTTTGAAATTTGACCTTTTGGAAGGCAGTGACTAAGTGGACCAATTCAAGAACCCTACTCTAATGTGTTTCTTTTGCCTTTTTGGACTACTTTTTATTTTCCACCTATTGTCTTTCTACCTCTCTTTATTTAAATATTGTTTCTTGTTCAAATTTTAAAATTAGGTGAGCAAAACATTTTAGTATCTGTTCAGAAGGGTGGGAGACAGTATCCCTACCTTTATTGTTTGCAATTGTAAAAGGCACACCGAAATAATTCTTAATACCCTGATTTGTTTTTAAAGTAGTCAACCTGAAGTGACTTTTTTAAAGGTTGTACAAAGTGATCATAAAGAATGGAGAATAGAGAAAAAAAAAATAAGAAAAAAAAAAGTGCCAGTGGGAATGAGGTATAAAAAAGTAGGACAGTAGAATGCCAAAGAGAAACCTTTATTTCTGAGTGGTAGTGTTTAAAGCCTGGTAGACCTTATAGTCATGAGAGTCATGAGTTTTATAGCACTGTTACATATTGCCAGTTTGTATATGTCATAGGCATCTTACTAAAGCCCAATTCAGTAAACGCTGTTAGTGGGTGGAAACTAGAATGACTATGGCTTTTGAGTTCCACCTTTGCTTTTCAAGTCAACAGCCCCTCTTTGGTTTTCTCATTTCTAAATCACAGATAATGGTCAATTTTATCTCTCCCAACTGATTTGTAGAAAATGAAATGACGTAAACTTTCAGAGATGTTACTAGGCTTCAAATTTAATTTGCTTGAAATAAATATTGATAAAATACATGCAGCCATCCCTAGACAAAATTACATAATAAAGCTGGTTATCTTGTTCCCAGGAGAGCATTGTCATTTTTGCATCACCCACTTGTACCGCAGATACATTCCTAATTTAGGACAAAACGGACTTAGTTTATGACTGACTAGTTTGAAATCGGAAACTCGGGTGAGTTCTATATACCTAGTTTTGATTAGTAAATTTGAAGAATTTCTGTGGCTGCACCGCAAAACTCTGCTGAAAACTTACTGATTCTCCATTTCCCTTCAAAAATGGAAATTTCTATTTTCCAGTTTGAGCTCCTGTATCTGTCCATTGCCTTCTGGCTCCTCAGCACGATCACACGGCCCTTGAGTGAGCTGTCCTCTCTCCTCCAACTTCAGTGCTGTCCCAGGGCTCTTTTAGAAAAAGATTTGTTTGCTGCCCTTGATGGGTTCTCTGATCCATCTGTTGCTTCTCTGTGACCATTTTCAGACTTGGCTCAGGCTCATCCTTTATCCCAGCTGTACCCCTTAGAATAACATGGAGTAGGGCCGAATGTCTCAAACCCTAACTAGTGTGCATAGGAATTATCTAGAGACCTTGCTTGATAAAATGTAAATCTGATGCTCTATTAGTGCCGCCACAGCAGAAAAAAAAAAATGCAGGTCTGGGTTGGAGCCCAAGATGTCCTCATTTTTCACAAGCTCAGGTGGTGCTAGATGAGGGTCCATGTGCATGGTAGCAAAGTACTAGGATAAATTACTTAAACTCTCATGAACCTGTTTGCTTATCTGAAACTGGATTTCTCTGAGAATTACGTGAGATAATGCTTGTGAAGAAGTTTATGTGGTAAAGTCAAGATTTAACCCTTAGCTACTTGGGAGGCTGAAGCAGGAGGATTGCTTGAGTCCAGGAGGTTGGGGCTGCAGTGAGCCGTGGTCACACCACAGCACTCCAGTCTGGGTGACAGAGCCAGATTCTGTCTCTTAAAAAAAATTTAGCCAGGCGCGATGTCTCATGCCTGTAATCCCAGCACTTCGGGAGGCTGAGGTGGGCTGATCACGAGGTCAGGAGATCAAGACATCCTGGCTAACATGGTGAAACCCCATCTCTACTAAAAATACAAAAAAAAATTAGCCGGGCGAGGTGGCGGGCGCCCGTAGTCCCAGCTACTCGGGACGTTGAGGCAGGAGAATGGCGTGAACCTGGGAGGTGGAGCTTGGCAGTGAGCCAAGATGGTGCCACCGCACTCCAGCCTGGGTGACAGAGCGAAACTCGGTCTCAAAAAAAAAAAAAAAAGAAGTGCAGTTGATTCTTGAACAATAAAGGACTAGGGGGCCTGACCCCTGCACAGCTGAAAATTTTGCATATGACTTATGATTCCCCCAAAACTTAACTGCTAACAGCCTACTATTGACCAGAAGCCTCACCAATAACAAAACCAAAACACATTATGTGTGTTATGTATTAGTTACTGTATTCTTACAGTAAGCTAGAGAAAAAAGTGTTGTTATTAAGTGGAAGTGGGTGATCATAAAGATCTTCATACTTGTTTTCATGTTGAGTGGGCTAAGAAGAAGAGGTGTTAGTCATGCTATCTCGGGTGGCAGAGGCGGAAGAAAATCTGTTATGTGTCAAGGATCAACTGTAAATTAGAATGGTGGTTCCTAAAACACCTGGAGGTTGAAAGAGTAAGTGTCTGATTTAGTGGGTATAGGGTAGAGCCCAAGAATTTCCATTTGTTACAGATTCCAGTTGATAGTTGGGGGACAGTACCTGGACCACTGTACTACAAGGACTCCCTTCTTTTTCGTTGCCTAGCCCTATACTTCTCCAAACTAAAACCTAACTTGATGGTCAAGAAATCAGGCCTGCCCATTTTGTCCACATGAAAAGCACCAGAAAACCAGCGTCAGGCCTGAGTTGTGCTGTTGCACTGTAGGTAATTGAGCACCCTAGAGGGCTAGACAATCAGATCAATGCTCTTCCTACATAGAAAACGCAAGCTTGAATGGGTACAAGAAATAATCACTAGCATTGTTTCCTGGCCGTAAGAATTTGCTCTTGGTGGCCGGGCGCGGTGGCTCAAGCCTGTAATCCCAGCACTTTGGGAGGCCGAGACGGGCGGATCACGAGGTCAGGAGATCGAGACCATCCTGGCTAACATGGTGAAACCCCGTCTCTACTAAAAAATACAAAAAACTAGCCGGGCGAGGTGGCAGGCGCCTGTAGTCCCAGCTACTCGGGAGGCTGAGGCAGGAGAATTGCTTGAACCCGGGGGGCGGAGGTTGTAGTGAGCCGAGATCCGGCCACTGCACTCCAGCCTGGGCGACAGAGCGAGACTCCGTCTCAAAAAAAAAAAAAAAAAAAAAAAGAATTTGCTCTTGAAGGAACAAACTTAATTGCTGATACTGCAAGTGTTCTATGTATATTTAGTATTACATAAAAGGGAAAAAACTTAGTCTTTTTGTTTCTTTTTTTGAAACGGAGTTTTGCTTTTGTTACCCAGGCTGGAGTGCAATGGCGCAATCTCGGCTCACTGCAACCTCTGCCTCCCGGGTTCAAGCAATTCTCCTGCCTCAGCCTCCCGAGTAGCTGGGATTACAGGCATGCACCACCAGGCCTGGCTAATTTTGTATTTTTAAGACAGATGGGGTTTCACCATGTTGGTCAGGCTGGTCTCAAACTCCTTACGTCAGGTGATCCACCCGCCTCAGCCTCCCAAAGTGCTGGGATTACAGCTGTGAGCCACCGTGCCTGGCCCCATTGTGTTGTTTATTAAAGTTTGTGAGAACAATACCAGAATTAAAGCACCACAAAACATACAGCAAAAAGTGTACATGCAATGCAAAATCATCTGAAAAATGTCAGAAGATAAATTCATGCCCTATTCCTGACATTGTGCATGTGGCTGAGCATTGCTTAGTCTTGCTTTAATTAGCTAAAATTCTAAGGAGTCTGATATGACTAGTTGAAAGAAAATTATCAATTTAGCATCAAAGTTTTATTTATACTAGACTCACGATATCTTCATATCCAAGTGTCTTCTATTTAGTATTTTTGAGTGCTTCCAAATTTTTTTTTGTAGGCTGCAGTGAATGCCTTTGAACATTTATCTATCTTCATGTATTTGCATTTCCATAGGATAATTTTTAGATGTATAATTACTATGTCAAAGGGGATATAAGTAAAATAATGTCAGTTTGCCTCCAAAAGAATGTCGTAATTTACACTCCAATAGCATTAAAAGAAAGCTCATATGTCAGGAACCGTCTCATAATCATCTTTTTATTAGCATCTATTCCAGTCCCCTGCTCACTAGCGATTTTTCATATAGTAGTAAACAATGTTTTAAAATATTAATTTGAACTTAGTGGCTTTAAACCTGGATAATTTTCCTCTCACAATTCTGTGGTCCATGATGTATGAGAAGATTCCATTTATCAGTACAGCATTGAAATCATCTTCAAGCTTATATACTCCCACCTAGCCTTGTGCTGCTAACCCAAAGGGTATTTGTGTAAATAGAGAAATATTTATTTTTTTTAAAGATGGGGGTCTCACTATGTTGCCCTGATCTTGAAATCCTGGCCTCAAGTGATCCTTCTACCTCTGCCACTGGAGTAGCTGGGACTACCTGCACAAGCCACTGCACCCAGCTGTTGGAGCATTTTAGTAGCCTGAAGATAATTGGAATCTTGTCATTGGAAAAAATAAATAGTTTGAGTCTAGCAGTGAGTTGTGCTTGCTACCCCTGTGGAGACAGATTGGAGTAGCAGCTCACTGGAGGTTTCTCACGAAGCCTGAGGACCCAAGGCTGGTACTTGCTACTTTGATTTAAACCAAGCCCCCAAACCTGGCAAGCCACCAAGCAGTAGCTAGCTTTGGAAGAGGCTGCCTGGAAATTCCTGGCTTACAGTGTTGAGACAAAGGGCCCCTAGTACTCAGCTGGTCATGACATCCATTTGCATACCAGCTCCTATGTCACAGCAGCAAATGCAGCCTTCAAAGTTGGAAGGTAAACTGTTACTAGGATAGCTGTGAATGTATCCTGTATAAAAGGAACCAAAGCTGAACAAACTCTCGTAAAAACTACAGCCCTTGATTACTCAAGGTGTCACAATACTTGAGAGCTAATGG